CCTCTTCTAAGTATCTGGGAGGGTTCCTTTCTCTTTGAGGATACCGTTTTGTCTCACTGTCATTCTCAGTATGGTTGCAATGCCTTCCCTCACTATCCCTAGGCTCCTCATCAGGCACTGTATTTGGCGGCATTGCACTTAAAACAGGGAGGCTCATACTATCTAAGTCTGATCTAGTATCATGGTCAGATTTCTCATGTACATCACAATCCCTGCTGGACTCATCAGTTTGTGTGTGCTGTTCTACACTACATTTCTTGATGAATCTAATGAGTCGATGTCTCATGATTTTCCCATTTTTTGGGTAGTACACTAGGTAAGAAGGGCTATTTTTGTTGTATCCCACAAATACCCCCTTGCTGCATCTTGAGTCTAATTTCTTATGCTCCTGTTCGTAAGCAAAACATTCAGATCCAAAGATCCACATTTTAGAAAGATCAGGTACTTTCCCAGTAAGGCTAAAGTAGGGTGTTGTCTTTGTTCTCTTATTAAAACATCTATTCCTAATGTGAGCTGCGGTTTGAATTGCATAGGGCCAGAGAGTTTTGGGTAACCCTGATTGGAGAAGAAGACATCTGCCCATTTCGAACAATGTGCGCCAGTGCCTTTCGGCGGTGCCATTCTGGTGTGGCGAGTAGGGAGCAGAAGTTTCATATTTTATGCCACGCTCCCTTAGTAGTGTTTGAAACGCCTTACCTGTAAATTCTGAGCCATTGTCAGAACGGATGCAACTTACCTTGCCATAAGGAGTGATGTCTGCTAGAAATTTCTCTGTTGCTACAAAGGTGTCACTTTTACATTTCAGAAAGTAAACAAATACTGCTCCTGAGAAATCATCAGTAAAAGCTATGCAGTACTTAAACCCCTCTCTTGATACAGGAGAAACTGGACCTGCCAAATCCACATGCACTTTCTCCAATGATTTTTGAGATCTTGCATCAGGAATCCTTCTCCTGCTGTTTACAAATTTTCCTTCTACACATGTATTACAACCTAACTTAGATGACTCAATTTTACCTGAGAATTTCATGCCCGTAACTACCCCCTGTAGTTTTATAATATCTTCAAAATTGCAGTGCCCTAGGATTTCATGCCATGTGTTAATATCATACGAGAGATTTACTTTATCTACTTCACTTACGCTATCGTTCTCATGACTGTCTATGGAAGTCAAATAGTACAACCGTCCATGTTCTTCAATTTCAACAGTGGTACCATCTTGAAGGGTTAGCTCACCAGTATCTTGGGCAAATAGAAGCTTGGCTCCATTTGATGTGGCTGTATTCACTGAGAAAATATCTTGAGGATAGGATGGTATATATAAGGCGTTTTTCAGCACCATTTTCACACATTTTCCATTTGTATCTTTCAGAAACACTTCAGCATCCCCTCGTTTCAATGCAATATTACTGGCTCGTGTGCCATCAGCCAGTTCAATGTAATGTTTTGATGGTTTAAATGTCATGTCTATTTGCTTTAAAATATCAGTAGTAACAATGTGAGAAGTGGCACCTGTGTCAACGAACATTCCCATTCGATTGATTTTCCCTGTTGCTTCGTCGTTAACTTTGAATGCAAATGAATGTTCATCTTTAGAGGTGTTTTCTTTCTCCGACACCTGTTTGGCTTGGTCTTTGCTCTTTTGCTGACTTCTGCAGGTGCTATCCGGGTGTGTTGTACTTTTGTGATAGTTACACCACTTCTTCTCGCTCTTAGCAGGGCACTCTCTGACTAAATGCCCTCTTTTCCCGCAGCCATAACATGTCATTGTTTGCGAAGGAAACTCAGCTTTCATTACCTGATCAACTTTCGGTTTGGTGTTGAGCTTTTCCGTTTCTTCGAAGCTCCTCAACATGCTCTTAAACTTCGCGAACGTTATCTCACTTGCACTTTGGGTCACATGTATCGAGAACGGTTTATATGAATCAGGCAGCCCCTTTAAGATCATAGCAATTATTAGCCCATCGCTTAACGTTTCTTTGGCTTAAGCGCTGTTATTGCTTTCTCGGCTCTTATTAAGTAATCTGTGACTGTCTCGTGAAGTGCTTTTTCAAGTGACGTTAGCTCAGTGTAAAGTGTGATGATTCTTGGTTTGTCTTGATTTGCATAATGGTCTCGGAGTATTTGTAAAGCCTTTCGGCCATCGTCGGTAGCATCCCTCATTACCAATGACAGACTGGTGTCATCCAAACACTGTATAAGCTCGGCATAGCATTCTTCGTTCTTTGTTGCGTCAGCCTCTTCTTCAGACGGCAGGATAGTATCCTTTAGTTTTAATAACCTCATGTGCGCGAGGAATTTCGCTTCCCACAGTTCGTAATTGCTTTCGTTTCCATCGAAAGTCAACCTTGACCAGCGTGATTCTCTGCTGGGCCCATAACCTGTTGAAGCCATGAATTTAGAACACCGTATTTGTAATGAAATCACTCTTTATTTTCACGTTTATTACAAATGTAGTTTTGTACAGTAAGTTACTTTCACGAGGAAGTTCAACTAACAACACAACTATCCCATCATGCATTTGTCTCTCAGTATTACGTCATACTAATATTTGGATAACATACAGTTTTATATTGAACTCAACAGTTAGCTTGGCTTCCAGTTGAGTGTATGTTAAAACTCAGGGATGCGGTTATGACATTTAAGTGCATGAAAGGGTTAGCTCCACCATACTTGTGTGACAAATTCGAAATGAGATCAAAGACTCACAGTGTTAACACCAGAAATAAGGATAAGTTAGATATTCCACTGTATAATTCGGCTTCTGGACAGCGAACGTTTCATCGTGCAGTGTCTATTTGGAATGAGCTCCCAAATCATATTGAAGACATTGACACTTTGAACCAGTTTAAACTAGAATATAAATGTCATTTATTGCATGGATTTTTAGAAAGTAGTTCGTAGTTTTAGACAATTTGGGCTTGTTTAAATTAGCATATAAACGTTTTTACTGTATGGATTTTATTAGGAAGTAGCTAACATTTTTAAAGTGACATTACTAATAATTATTGTGTTTGTATGTATGTACAGTATGTATGTATGTTTGTGGGTGTATATTTATTGTTTGTAGCATATAAATGATTTGTAATTACCTGCTGAAAAGCCCTTTTGGGAGCAGGCAATATTGTAATAATAATAATAATAATAATAATATGAGGCTGTTAGCAATATGAGACAAAGTTTCCGAGCGGTTCACGATTATTTAATTTCTTGCGCAATCAAAGCACAGCCACAGTATCAGAGGGTATCCGGCGTCATATATATACACGTCCTGTAATTGGCTGTGGATACCCTACAAGGCATCCAAATACCTCATTAAGTTACTATTTTTAGTAACATTTGAACCGCAGACCGAATCAGAACACCGCAGATGCATTTAGAAACTTTTTTCCGATCCGAGTAAAGTCCTCGGGTTACGCTTTCGGAAAGCTCTCGGCTCATCTTCGTCGAAAATAATTCAATGCTTTAAAAAGGCGGCTAATATTACATTTAGAGCTGTAAATTTTAAAATTTACGAAAGAATTTGCCCTCGTTCATCTTAGTAAATTCAAATTTTCGTTAGTTTTTGTACACAGAAATGAATTGCGTGAAAATATATTAATGGTGAATTTCCCCCCCAACCTATTTTACTATCCATAATCGGAAAAATCTGACCGTATCTTTCCGAAATATAGAAGGTTCGCTGTGATTGGTCGATCGGAGGGAATGGATTGTGCAGCTTGGGTCAGCCAGGGCGCTATAAAACACGGGCGGGGAAACGGCTACGGCGACCCTGATCTATGTGTGATCACAGCGCCCTGGTGTGATGCAGCCCCCCCCCCCCCCCCCCCCCCGCATATTTTGAGTTTTGACTTTTATTCCATTTCCATGCTTCGATTCGACCAGTTTCGCCGGCTTCTTTTTAAAATTACGATGTAAAAAATATGATTCGAGCTGAATTCACAATGGATTTTGGGATTATGTGCTATCAGAAGACGAAAGATTCTTTCAGGATTCTTAACCATGGCGATAGGGAATGTTGGGTTTCGAGGTGATAAGGATTTTCTTGCAAAACAACTGCGTTCGTGTCATCGTGTGTATGTTTATTATTTATTTATTTATTTATTAAACTTTGCCAAAAACACTTAACAGAACAGAAAATAGACATCTAGACAATAAATAAACATGGACAAAAATGGCAGGGACACCACAACAGTGTAAACCAATTACTGTGGGCCCTATACAAACATATGAAAATATATGAAAATATAGATATAAAACAAAGTTTTTAAACGACTGTTGTCCTAAAATGTGCAACTGGAATGTGTGTTTGGAAATCAAGTATGTTACATGTGTTTTTTAAATTTTCGGGGGATCTGGTCTTGCCTGTTCGACCAGGTAAAATATCATGAAGATACAGCAAGGCCTTTATCAAAAACGTTTTCTTGTTTATAATAATCACTGCATCTTTTTGCAACCGCTTTGTGTTCATATAGGATAAAAATCGCATATCCCGCAGTCAATTCGTTTTCGTGTTTTTAAAATCTGACCCGCCATGAAACAAACTGAAACAACTACGTTTAAACAAAAAAGCCGGTTTTCTGTTACTTTAAAATGGATGTATTATAACTTAATTTTTATCTGTGCAAATTTTCCCCGAGCCGACGGCGCGAAGCGCCGTGCGAGGGTACTAACCCCCCCGGCTATTTACACCCGGGAAAAGGATCGCACTGGCGAAGTCTAAAGTTCATCAAATATCGCGGGCGCGGTTCATGGGTGTCGACCAATATTCTATCATGTATTAATTAATAATTATTCTTATGAGATTGCCAAGTTCTTTGTTCCCATTCTAAGTCCTATTTGCTCTAGTGCCTTCGTGATTCGTTCTCCTTCGTGCAGGAATTGTTAAGTCTAGACTTTAATTCCATTAATCTTGCCATGGCTAGCTTTGATGTCACATCCTTGTTTACTAATATCCCGCTGGACGAAACCGTAGAAATAATTGCTGATCGCTTGTTTTCGAATGCCATCTGTTTTCATGATCTCACTCGCTCTGAATTCAAACAAACTCTTGAGTTGTGCTGTTAAAACTGCCATTTCTTGTTCAATGGTTCTCTATGTCAACAGGTAGACGGCGTAGCAATGGGCTCTCGTCTTGGGCCTCTATTGCATGGTTAACATTTTCTTATCCTTTCATGAAACCATTTGGCTTCTAGCCCTAATCCTTTCTTCTAATATGTAAATAGTTGTTTTGTTGGCAAATTATGGGCAAATAAAAGTTAATAATTGCCCTACCAATTTTAAATTAATCCCTTATTATATCGTCGATATGTAGACGATACCTTCCTTCTATTCCGTTCTAGGGATCATATTCCTCTTTTCTTGCTTATCTCAATCGCTGACATCCTAACATTAACTTTACTTGTGAAGTTGAATCAAATTGTCAACTTTCCTTCCTTGACATTACTATTACACGAACTAATGGCCACTTTGAAACCTCTGTTTATCGCAAACCTACATTCACAGGGATTTTCACTAATTTTCATAGCTTCACTCCTCTGCAATTTAAACGTGGTTTAATATATTCACTATTACACCGCTTTTTCAATATTTGCTCTAAATGTGAGAATTTTAATTTATGCTCAGATTGAGTTTTTTAGAAAAATCGTCAACCAGATCGGTTATCCTACTCGCCTCTTTGATCCTTGTGTTCGACTCTTTCTTGATAAAACCTTTCAACTCAAGGAATTAATCCATTCTGTATCAAAGAAAGTGGGTTTTTTTGTCCTCCATATACCGGAACACACTCTCCAAATCCTTACCCAAATTCAACGCCTTCGCTCTGTAGCCTTCCCACATATAAGCATCAGTATCATGTTTCGTCCCACTCTACGTTTGTCCAATTTCTTCATGTTTAAGGACAAAATTCCCGATACTTTTAGGTCTTGTGTAGTTAATTATCTTAAGTGTCGATGCTGTTCCGCGTTGTACGTGGACCAAACGGTACGCCATCTACATACATGAGTCTCTGAACACCTGGATATTTCTGCCTTAACTGTTACGACGTGTAGCAGTCCTCAACTTACGAGCATCTTTTCCCATCTGAGCAACTCAGGTCATGCTGCTTCTCTTGATGATTATAAGTTCCTATCATCCTGTTCCTCTCCAGATGAACTTCTCGTCCGTGAAAGTCTTCTTATCTCAAAGCTCAAACCTACTTTGAATCAGCAAGGTAGCTCCATTCCTCTCTCCCACTTCTCTGACTTCTTTCCTTTAACTCCCCTCCCCCCATCCTCCGCATTCCTATTACCGTGTATTTGATATTGTAAATAACTTAATTCCTATTACCGTGTATTTGATATTGTAACTCATTGTCATACTATATTCATTTACTCTGAAGATGTCTTAAGTTAAAGACGAAACGTTAATTATTTCTTAAATACATTTTATGTCTATATTCTTGTCTATATGGCTCTTTTGCGTACGTTATGCTGGGCATTAATCTTTATATTACGATTACGATTCCCGTCTGGTCCATCACTTGCAAGTATATTGAGAAACAAATGTATAATGCGTGTCGTAGTAAAGTCCCTTAAGCTACGTTACACCACGCTCGTTCCAGACTCTTGTTGATACGCGACATTTTCACGAAAATCGCTGTTTAAAGCCACATATCTCGCAAATGAAAGGAAAAAAACGAAAAAGGTCAGAGAACCTATTAACTAACTTTTTGTCCTCTACTCAAAAGTAAAAAACCATTGTGACATAAGCACTTTAAGGAACTACTTCACAAGATAGATTTATGATTGTATTTTAAGAAATTATATTTTTGTAAAAATTGTATTTATAAAAATTGTATTTTAAATGTTTTGTAACGAAGAAGATTTAAGATTAATTACACTATCTTCAATATTCATATGAAAACTATTTTCGAAAAAACAACTCCAAATCAAAGTAAAAGTGGCAATTCTTTAATTAAAATTGGACACTCTAAGGTTCTCTGATCAACAGGCCAGCCAGGGGTTTCAGGTAATTTTAGGTATAGTACCATATTGAGCCAGTGTTATCGAGTATCTTGGTATTCTAGTAACCCCCTGGCCGGGCCTGGATCAAGTCAATAGAAATTGTCATAGGTCTGGCAGACCATGCAGTGGCCATGCCTCGAGAAAAGAGATTTTGAAAACTCAAAGGTTCTATTTGTTTAGTTTGGACGGGAGTGTAGAAGGTGTGTTGTTAAGGCCCATCTGCACGATACGACTAGTCGTATACGATCTTATCCTGGCGTATGTACTCGAATAAATGCGTGTAAAGATGTTAGATTTCAAACTTCGACATAAACTGATGAACAGGAATAGTGGCGTCAGCAGTCGTTTTCATATGCCAGGGGCCGGTTGTACGAAGGTCGGATAGCGCTATCCACCGGGTAGTGATTTTTTCAAGCTTTGTTAAATCAGTCGTTCATTGGTATAACTCGTATTAAAGTTTAGTATTTATAAGGGCCGGTCATAAAGTATGTGTAGGTGGGGATGGAAGGTGTGTCTGTGGAGGTGGGGGTGGTGTGAGACGGATTACACATTTGTGGTGGGTACGAAACCAAAAATGAGTGGAATAATATGTCTATGATTAATAAAACTATACAGACTTTTATATTACAATATACTTTTAAAAAAATCGAGTGTATGTTCCTAGCCGTAAATTGCAATGTAGCACAATAGTATTTATGGAAGTGTCTCGATCGGAACCTATTAGTTTGACATGTCTGCAACCTGAACAGTCTTTGATTACGTTATTTTACCGCCGGGTGGCTCCTCTGCTCGTTTACTTTTAGAATGATTTAAATATTGAGAAAGAAATGAAATACGTCACGACGTTCTGCTAGCTGATATAACCAAAGTTTACAAATATGTGAGATCAGGCTCTATTTTAGAAATATAGCCTGACACAAACCTTAATCCGATCGCTTTCCACCCACAGCAAAGTTTATATTTAGTATCCAATCAAAATGTCGCAGGAGAAATTTGCAACTAACTGGAGACCAAATAATTTCGTGAGTAACAAATTTGTTTCACAATTTTTTAATTATTGAATTGGCACCGTGTTTGGCGCGTTTTTGTATAAAAATTGGTATAAAAATTGGTAAGATTTTGAGTAATGTTTTCTAGATCTGACCCAGATTTTCACCAAGGGCATATAAATAGTATTATTATTTCAAAAACTCATTCATAATTCATGAGGAAAACACAAAGAGAAATCATAAGCGTGGCGTGTCTTTATATGTGATAAAACACGCTTCAAATTTCAACTTGTATTTTCTCAGCTAATACAAAGTTATTTTGGAAAATTATTTCGCCAATGCCGTGATCTAACTGAGACGTTCTTGAGGCTGTTTAATAAACTCGTAGTTCGTGTTTTATCAGATATAAAACACTCCGCTACGCGTCGTGTTTTATATATGATAAAACACTCCTACTCGTTTATTAAACAGTATATAACAGTATTAAACAGTATTGCAATAATTTGCAAAACAGTTATGAGGCGATTGGCTGGGTGCGCCGGGGGGGGGGGGGTACGAAACATTTAATCTGAGGATATTAAATATTTTCCGACGCTTTTTGGAGGGGTTGCCAAATTTATGGTAAAATTTTGGAATACCATCCCCCCCCCCCCTAGTACACATACTTTATGACCGGTCCCTAAGTTAAATGTTTTTTATACTCCTTGTGTCGTCTATATCTGTAGGTTCACAGTTTTTGAAGCATTGTACAAAGGCTGAAAAAATCACTATCCGGTGGATAGCGCTATCCAGCCTTCGTACAACCGGCACCAGAATGACAATCGTATGCTACTAGTCGTGTCGTGTAAATGGGCCTTTAAACTTTTCATTTGTTCTCGCAGAGTCCATTCCTGAAATTCGCCATACTTTTCGGAGATCAGTAGGAGATCCACTCATGACAACCGTCAGCCATAGTCAACATAGGCGATTACTTAAATTAAAACATAGCTATTGTGGTAATATTCTTGTAGAAAATACTGTTCTAACTTTTAATTGTTTCAAGAAAGTTAAAACATTTATTTTTATCACATAAAAGGTATAGCACATTTACCTGGATGTCCGGTAAGACCTCTCCAAGGCGATGTTTGTGGTCTCCCAGTGTCGCGCTTGGCAATGAGGCTATTTGCAAGAAATGTATACAAATAAAATTTAATGATAAAATTAACAGCCAGTTAATGCTGAAATTACCAGCTCTTGTGTAGACAGTGAGCGTGTTACTATTTTGTTAAAGTGTTAAGGATATACGTTATTTAGTTAATATCTGCTAAGTTGAAGTGAATTTGCTTTGAACTCGTGGGGTGTCTTACCCTGGATTCCAGAGCCTTCGACAGTAAATAATGAATTGAAATGTCGCGTAGGCCTCTGGTTCAACGAGGAGATTCTTTGATTGAACCGCGCCAATCACAAAACAGAATTAGTGGTTTTAGTACTAAACCACTAATTCTGTTTTGTGATTGGCGCGGTTTAATCAAAGAATTGGCCGTTGAACCAGAGCCTTCGCGACATTTCAATTTATTATTTACTGTCGAATTCTCTGGAATCCAGGGTAGGGGTGTCCAAGACAACACTATGGTCACCTAGATACATGGTAGGCTGTTGCGTGTTTGGAGCACGTGGGCCGAGTGGATCGTAACCATAGAGATTATAAATAACACTAGAGGGGGTCCAAAAATTAAAATGCTAAAATAAGAGCGAGTTTGAGCCCAAATCTTTAAATTGTTGTTTATGTCAGTTAAGTCGCGTTTTGATTTTTTCCAAACATTTTTACCTCAGTTTTGTCTATTTCACATTTTTGAGAGCGCTTCTAAGTAATGCTGATGTCAGCAATTTTGATCTTTTCAAGAGGAATTAATTGTTTGAATTCAAAATTTTGGGGGAATGTTTGTATAGTAATGACATGCAAAACATATAAAACACCCAGTTTTGTGACTCTTGTTTAAAATTTTTCTGGTTTCAAGTGTGGTGTTCATCCAGGATTTCAATTTGCCCCCCATTGCCGCACTCCCAAATTCACCCTCGATGCCCCCTCTACTGTTATTTACAATCTTTATGATCGCAAAACTCTTGCGTGTTTTCTTGCACGCGCGTGACGTAGCCAACCATAGAGTCCCTGCGTGTGAGGCAGTATGGCGTAGGGGTTACAATTTAACATGTATAGCAGAATGGAAATTAATAAAAATATCAGAATGAAAATGAATAAAAATATCATAAAAATATTTTGTTAAAATCTTCTCAGCCATGGGAAGTTTTCCTGATCATCATACACCGATGATAAGAATGGTATTTCCATTTACGGGATTTCTGAGTGTCTAAATGTTCAAAATTTCTCTCTAAAATGTTCTTTTGAATGAATGCCTTCTATTTGAATGCACTCATGGAGAAAAACGACACTAAATTTCAAATACCGCTTTTAGGCAACGTAAAAAGTAATCTGAAAAATCAGGTGTTTTGGACTCTTAGGGGCGACGATATTAAAAGTCCTATTAAATCTCACCGTAATTCGTCGGGCTGGGTAATATCGCCAAGAATCATATCCACCATGAGAAGAAATGACCAAATCATTAACAATTTTTTATTAAGAAACTTCATTTCTGCGTTCGTTTGCAAAAAAAGCGTTTTAGTAAAGTTCCATGTGTTCTTCCTTGAGAGAGAGATAGAAAAAGAATGAAATAGCGTCCAAGTGTGTGGTGTTTTTGTAAGAGAACACAAAGAGTTTTATTCCATACAATTACAACTCATTGCGATGCTCAAGAAAGTTCTAAGATGGTTAAATTATAGCAAAAAATACGAAAGTCGTCACGCTGAGTGCGTTCGCCTGCGCAAACTGAAGACTGTTCAAGGCTAATTACAAATCCGTTTGCGTGTATAGTGAAAATTACACCTTATTAACGCATTCTTGCGACTTGTTTTGCCATATACTATTTATATTAAAAAATGCTTAATACGGAAAGGACGAACTGTGTGATTTGAACTGAAATCATTTCATGAACTAGTAAGTTAAATAGTTCATCAGCAAAAGCAGTTGAATTTAATGAAAATTTCAAAGGTGGAATTGTTAACATTAAGTTAATAATTAAAGTTAACATTAACTCGAAGTTGATAAAATGCAAGTAACAAACCTACATTATATAATTCAGAAATTAATAATTCTATAATAAAAATCATGCAGTAACCTTTTTTTTATTCAGTTTGCCTTTTTGTCAATAAAAAAGTGATCATGTTACCGTGACTACCAGTTGACGCGAGCGTTCAGTCAGCGGTTACCTAGTGGATGATTCCAGCTATAGACTAAATTTTGATCTCGGCAAGAAGAACAAAATCCATCACCACAGCTAGAAAGAGCATGTTAAAAATTATATAGTCGTATCAATTTGTATTACGCACGGGAAAATGCACCACTTTCGGCCCAAATGTGGTACATTTTCCCCGCGCGTATAATACAAAATTTGCAAATTTCGAAGGGCTATATTTTCCGGATTTTACCACATTTCGCGTCCAAAAGTTGCAATTTTACTAATTTTAACATGCTCTTTCTAGTTGTGGTGATGGATTTTGTTCTTCTTCCCGAGATCAAAACTTAGTCAAAAGCTGGAATCAACCATTGCAAATAGGCTCAGCTTAATTCGTGTTGAAACAATGTTCGAGAAATCTAATTGTTTCTTTATAACCGATCGGTATAAAAGATCCATACTTCCTCATCAATTGACTACTCAAACGCTTTCTAAATTATAGTCACATGCCCTTTCAGGGTAAATTATTCTGTACCAAAAGGGCACAAAATACTTATTAATCCAGACTCGATCAGCTCCGAGTAAAATCGTCTGGCGAATAGACAAAGTATAGAATAACAAAGTTGGCCGCATTTGGGCGCAATGTATCTATAAGGTAGGCAGAATCCATGGCTACTGAAGTACAAAATCATGATACTACCTGGAGCTGCATGGACAATATTTTGCAGAAAATAATATAAGTATATAATTTTTTCACACCAGAATGTCTGAGGAAGTTCAGACAAGTTTGTTCGGGGGTAAGGTGCGAAAAATAGTGTCTTGCTTAGGAAGGCGAGGGGTTTTTGCATGGATATATTTCTATGTTACAATAGATTTTAGGTGACAGCAAATTTCTACATCCCCTAGCTGCAATCGTTATAAGTAGTTTAAATTGACTTTGAATGCATGGGCTTTTTTTCTGAAGACGGAAACACCTGTGTTTGGTACCTGATATTATATACATTGCTGCATGGTTGGAAGACTGCTTTTCTAGTTTTTTTTTAAATTAAAGTGAGCACATAGAAAATTATTATAAGGATAGCATTATGTTCGATGCAATTTTAGCCAGTCTGGACTTGTCTTCTATATTGACACTAATAATCTAATTAGTACAACTTTAGTTTGTTGAACAAAGGACGTCCATAAGCTCTTAGTGATATACTTTTGAAATTGAGTGGGCAGAGGGTCAGCACTAAGCAGTAAGTAGCAGGGAAAAGGCAGCGCATTACACAGGCCAAGAAGCAATGTCTCTTGTCACTGTATGCATGCAACAATACCGTATTTATTGTAATAAACACCCTGAGTGTTGGTTAAAAAAATAACATATCATCTACATATAAAATATAGCGATAAATATAAAAACAGAAACACATTTTGGTGTTTTATCTTCTTGAAAGGAGAGCGCACTTAATGGTGGGGGCGTTTATTATGTTGTTAATTTTAAAATAAACAACTTAATTATAAACTTATTAGAGGGCGTTTATTTAACAACTTACTAAACACATCAGAGGGGGCGTTTAATTTGTTATTAGTTTATTTATTCAGCTTTGTTGGAAAACCGAAGAGTTCGGTCCCTAGTCAGTATCGTTTTTGACTATTTATGGAGGAAACTATTTAATTGAATTAGGTGTATAAAAAATATCATAGATAATACGCGTCATTAAGCTTTATACAGGGTGTCCGCAAAAAAACAAATTATTCTTGACTTGCAATGATGTCGGCGACGCAAATTTTTTTTCCGTAGACAGTCGGACTCCTCATTGATAGTCGGCAGACTTTGTGTTTGAGTTTGACAGATTATGATTAATTAGCGTCGCTGGGAGAAAAAAATTTATATTATAAAGCATATTAAGCATAATAATATTAAACATTAAAAGTCTTGCATGATATTTCTTTTATAGTATCAATTCGTAATATTGTCTGAGTAATTAGTTTGTGTATATTAGAACCAGGCAATAAGATCTGGAATATACGTATCCAGTGAAATGTGGCTGGGCTACATGATATGATATTACTAATGGACGGGTATTCTGCAATACTTTTATTTGTGGAAAGTGGTTTTGATGGTCGCTTTGAATCTTCCAATATTTCCTTTTGCACGCCAGTTATCTTATACTGATTCTGTTCAATTAGGATGGTATATAGTTTTAATTCGCAATAACAGTTCTTGAGTATTTTCGGAACCAGAAAAACAAAGTTTGTAGATTTGTTATAGCATCGCGAAGAAAATCTTTCTACACATGGTCGAAGACTGGAACAACGCGGAATGATGGACATATGGTATACCAGTGGGTTATGCAGGGTACGAAGGGATCGATAATAACGCGCGGAGGCCTGGACGTGGATCAATGATGTGTCCGACTATCAATGAGGAGTCCGACTGTCTACGGAAAAAAAATTTGCGTCGGCGACGGCCATGTTGGTCCGTCCTGTGTTGTTGTTGAAAGAACACAATAATCTAACTTGTTTTGAATTTAGCACCAACATGGCCGCCATGCCATTGTCTTCTAATTCTTATGGGATTGATTGCAAGTCAAGAACTAAGCTGAACGTAAAGAATTTATCTGAGTGGAGTGCAAAATAGCAGGATCAAACCTTTTTGTAAACCGGAAACGATTGTGTTTACAAAAGACACACCACCGGTACCTCCCTGAGTGCTGTGGCATAGCAACAATCAGCGAACAAGAATATTTTTTAGTTGTTTTGGTCAAATAAATATACGTTCAAAATAATGCAAAATTGTTAAAGAAATGAAGACATTCATAAAGAATAAGAGACAACACAAGTAAGTTTAAACATACTGTAGGTTTTACCAGTTATTTGATAGGATTTTGTTACAGTTTTGTGCGTTTAAAATTGGAAATACGGTAGGTGAATGTACTCCAGTTTTGTCTGACGCTTTAAATTTGCTTGTGTTGGCATTTTGACCATGTTTGATAGAAGATTATGTTCTTAATTTGCCTGTTAGTGTTTGTGAAATTTCAAAATAATTGAAAATGAATATAATAAAACGATTAGTTTACATGTAATCGGGCCGATTCTGCTTTAATTAAATGATATTTGAAAAATATGCTGTCAACATCATGTCACAGAGTAGATAAGACATACAGAGACGTAACTGACCGTTGTAAACACTGCGGAAGATTACGTTATCATGTACCCACTTTTTTTCAGGCGACCGGGCGAAAAATG